GCAGTGCATTACAGCGGATGAGTCACGATATGATGCCCTGTCGGTTCATCTCTCGTCACAGCAAGAGGCAGTTGTGCGCAAGCAGTGTAAGTAGAACTACGGCCTCTATTGTGAACTGCAGTTAAATGCAAGTGGCGGAAATCGAAAATGTGGCAGTTTGAACAACGGGCAAACATCAAGTTCTGACAAAAACTAGGCAAATCCCCTAGCGAAACATTTGGCGTAGGAAGAATTGGCTGTTGCTACACAACGCCCCTGCACATCGCTTTGTTCTTGTCCAAGAGGAACTGGCAAGGCAACAGGTCACCGTTTTGCCACACCCTCCGTACTCACCTGATCTCGCAGAGTGCGATTTCTTTCTCTTTCACCGCTTGAAAGCAAAGCTACGTGATCGTAGATATCAGTTGTCCGAGGAGGTGGTCAATGCCACAAGAGACGCCGTATGGGAATTTACTGCCAATATGTTTCAGCAATGTTTTCGGCAGCTATATCAACGTTGGCAGACTTGCACAGCGGCCAACAGCAACTATTTTGAGGGCCGATGTGGATCTGTGTAAGTGTATGTGAATACATTGTTATATGATGCGATGAAACCACATTCCACGAACTTAATGACTCTACTACGTATAACATTCTATCTGCCGATAAAAAATCATCAAAACGTTCTACAACAACGTATCTATATGTCAGTCGCATAAAAGGGCAGTGAAGAATGGGTCGTTTCTTGAACGGCAGAGCACTTCGAACTAAAGTTGCTGAAGTTGAAATAAGCAAATGAAATATAAATTGTGAAAGGCACACAAGGCTCTCATACATATAATGAAGCCTGGGTAAGATCCGTTGCTCAGTGGATAATGCAGTAATCCGTAGGGACAAAACCACGTGTTGCACAGAAATCAATGTCTTACCCTAGATTGGTAACACACGAGAAGCTAAAGCCGTGCAACTAAAAATGAGATAAAATACTGAGTATATACAAGTAACAAATACACGCTGATATGAAAGAGGAAGTTACCTTTAGACAATGGTTATATAGATTTCCTTCTCGGTTTATCTAATGACTCTGTCAACAGCATTCGTTATACGACCTCAGATGAAAGCTTTTGTGAGGAATACGAATAATTAATAAACATTTTTTCTTGAGATATAATAATGATCAATTAAAGAATATATGTACAAGCCTCACAGTCAAACTGACCATATTTTGACAGATAGGAGAGGGCATTCAAGCGTACTTTAAGACTGATGTTCAAAGCAGCAGAGTGATACTAATCACCAGGGCCCGGATTTTGATGACCTAAAAATATCTGAAGAATGATCTATAAAATGACCAAAAAATGTTTAAAAAATGACCTACAAATTTAAAAAAAATTCTCCAGGTAGATGCGGACTGTGTAAATTAGGATCTTTACATGTTTTTATGATACCGAGATTTCGTTTGAAGTAATTGACCCTCTGCACCTGTGGGGCGACAGCCTTTAGAAAGACATGCGACTTAGAATATTGTATCTTCCCAGATATAGTGTCTCATCATAACAACAATGAGAATATCACAACATTTCGTTTAGTTTCCAGTTTCTTGATTTTATGACAGCCGGACATCTCTTTAAACCTACCCCTCTGCATTTCTGAGGCATCAATTTTATGAGTTTATGACATAGCGGTGGCTTAGAAAGCGGCGCGGGACAGTAACAGCATCTCTGGCGGCTTAGAAAGAAAAATAATGTGCCCTCCCACAAAAAAAATCTATTATATTTAGCGACAGAGGCTAGAGATACAAAACAAAATTTACTTGAAGAACATAGATTTCTACCTCACGAAACAAATATCTTCAGTCTGATCAATGAATGTCAGTTATTAAAAAACGAGAAAGATAACCAAAATTGATGTAAAACGTGAAAAAATGACGTAAAAACTTGTAAAAATAACCTAAAACTTAAAACCTACAAAATATGACAACAAAATGCACAATAAAATTCACATTTTTATAACCAGAGGTTCAAAATCGGGGCTTTAGTACTTAAAAGCAACGTTTACTACATAAAGAAAAAAAAAGATGACATGTCATCAAAATCCGGGCCCTGCTAATCACAATCTGGTGGTGGCAAAAATTAGGGAGGCAGTGAGTAAAACACATCACACAAATTTCATATGGAGAGGTTCAATCTCAAGGAATTAAACAAGGTAGAGGTTAAGAGCAGTATCGTGTTGAAATCTCAAACAGCTTTGGAGAACTCAGACGCTCACGTTTGTAGAAGTTGGGAAACTATTTGGGAGAATATCAAAATTTCAGCGGAAGAGAGTATAGATTATTATGAATTGAAGAAGCATAAGCCATGGTTCGAGGAAGGATGCTCATAAATATTAAATCAAAGAAAACAAACTAGACTGCAGTGGTTAGTGGACCAAAATGAAATAAATGGGGATAATCTGAATAATATAAGACGTGAAACCAGCAAGCATTTCAGGAATAAAAGAGGAAATATCTGAAAGTCAAAATTAATGAGCTTGCAACGAACAGCAAGAACAAGAACATAAAAGAGCTGTATAGAGGGAATAAATGACTTTAAGAGGGGTTACCAGCCTAGCAGTAACTTAGTGAAGGATGAGAATGGTGATCTGCTTGCAGATTCCCACAACATTTAGAATAGATGGAAGAACTTTTCTCAGTTACTGAATGTACATAGGGTCAGTGATGTTAGGCAGATAGAAATACATACAGCTGAGCCGTTAGTACCTGATCCTAGTTCTTTTGAGATTGAAACTGCTACTGCAAAATTGAAACGGTATAAATTGCCAAGTAGTGATCAAATTCTGGAAGGATTCAAGCAGTGGGAGAAACGTTATGGTCGGAGATCCATAAACTCATGAATTCTACTTGGAATAAGGGAGAATTGTCTGATCAATGGAAGTAGTCTATTACTGTACCAATTTTAAAGAAGGAAGATAAAAGTGGATGTAATAATTATTGTGGGATATCACTGATATCAATTTCATACAAAATTTTATCCAATCTCAAGGTTAAGCCCATATACAGATGAAATTATTGGGGATCATCACTGTGGGTTTCGACGTAACAGATCAACTACTGATCAGATCTTTTTCTTTCATCATACACTGTTGAAAAAATGGGAATACAATGAGACAGTACATCAGCTATTCATAGACTTCAAAAAAAGCCTATGATTCAGTTAGGAGGGAAGTATTGTACAATATTCTCGTATAGTCTGGGGTACCCATGAAAGTAGATAGGCTGATAAAATGTCTTTAAATGAAACCTATAGTAAAATCCTTATAGGTAAATATATAGATGATAAGTTTATCCAAAATGGTCTGAAACAAGGAAATGATTTAGAACCATTGTTTTTCAACTTGCTCTTGAATATGCCATTAGGAATGTCCACGAAAGCCAGGTGGGACTGAAATCACATCAGCTGTTGGTCTATACTGACGATGTGAAGCTACTGGGAATTACCATAAATATCACAAGGATAAACACAGAAACTTTAATTGAAGCTATTAAAGAGGTTTGTCCATAAGTAAAAGCAGGGAAATCTAAGTATATGTTGCTGCCTTGTCATCAGAAATCATTGCAAAATAATTATATAAAGATAGCTAACAGATCCCTTGAAAATGTGACACAGTTCAGAAATTTGGGAACGACAGTAACAAATCAAGTTTTTATTCAGGAGGAAATTAAGTGGAGACAGAATTCGGCTTATGCTTGCTACCATTCAGTCCAGAACCTTTTGTCTTCCCAAGTGATCTATAAAAACGTAAAAATTAAAATGTAAAAGGTATAATTTTGCTTGTGATTCTATATGGGCATGAAACTTAGTCTCTGAAGTTAAGGGAGGTACATAGACTGAGGGTGTTTGAGAACAGGGTGCTGAGGACAATAGTTTGACCGAAGAGGGATGAAGTGATAGAAGCCTGTATAACTGCATAATGAAGAGCTTCATAACTTGTACTCTTCGTCAAGTATAATTAGAGTCATAAGACAAGGAGAATGTGATGGGCAGGGCATGTAGGGCGCATGGGGAAAAGAGGAATGCGTATAGGATATTGGTGGAAGAGCCAGAAGAAAAGAGACAAGTAGGAAGTCCAAGATGTAGGTGGGTGGGTAATATTACAATTGATCTTAGAGAGAGAATGGAGTGGTATGGACTGGATTGATCTGGCTCAGGATAGGGACCGGTGGAGGGCTCTTGCGAACACGGTAATGGGTCTTAGGGGTCTATAAAATGTTGGGAAATTAAGTAGCTGTGTGACTGGTGGCTTCTCAAGAAGGGCTCAGCTCCATGGAGTTATTTAGGTACACATGTGCAAAGATTGATATAATTTCAATTAAGAAGCCAAACAAATCAACATATTATGAAAGCAGTTCTATAAATTAACATTTAAAAATTAAAGCATGAATCATCTTGAAGATGGCCGGAGTTGGGTACTAAGAAATGCATAATGCGATATTGTATTTTATTATATTTGATTATTTTAATATGTTAGGTATTAAATCATCACCATTTTCTACTGCAGTTGACTGTTTTATTTCGGGGTGGAGCCACAAACTTTTCAAACTGGCAAATGGAATTCGAATTCTCACACACGAAACTGAAGTACACCGAACCTGCAATATGCCTATGGACGGAGGAGTTAGAAAACAGTAAAATGTGCCGTAAATTCAGATAGAATGCAGGCGAGGTACCAGTACAGTGACAAATAGAATAAAGTTTTCATAGCACCAACGAAATACGATTTTTCATGAATATACCTCATCTTCAACATCAAAGTAACACTTTGAGCTCAAAGATACGAGTTTAGGAAATACAGCGTTTTTATCATAAAGTAAAATGCCTGTCCCTAAAATGTCTTCTTTGGTAACGTCAATTTCCGTTAGTCAGAAGTGACGTCGGTTGTTGCATGCATTTCTAACCTTAACCTCTTCAGTACTTAGTATATGTGTAAAAAAACAATATTTATATATATTAGTCTTTACTCACCGCCAAGCAGTGGACTGGCTAGAACAAAACAGGAACGATATCATCTTCTTGTTCGTATATTGAAAGGTTCACTTGGAAAAGTTCATTCTTTTACAATAGTTCACATGATTCCACTGACACTAATTTAATGCCTCACAAGTATAAATAATGGTCAATTACAGTCTTCACTTAGAGCCACATAGCATCATAATAACTAGTGAATACGTTTGTAAATAATATCACAAACAAACTTTGCAGACAACTTCACAAATCACTGACACGTGTCTACAGAGCAGACCTACTACTAAGCGGTAGAATAATCGAAAATTAGAATATCGATGCGTGCAGTGGCTAGTACGTAAAATATGCTGACACATCTCGCTCACGCTACGTGATCCCTGCCAGAGCTGAGCAGCTCAGTTGGTTATCTTTGGAAGACACAGCATAACTTGACGGCTCGTCAGAAGATAGGCTACAGGTCACGGAAAATGTATCACTGACATGGTTGTTTATTAAAGAAGCAATACGTTGTCATGGTTGCTCAAAACGAGGATGGTCATGAAATGCGGGAGCTGCACGAATGTCAATGTTGTCGATATAATAATGGTTACACTCTCGTGGAAGTTCAGAATGAAGAATAATATGCGAAAGCATTATCTCTGTCATGGATACTGATACAAACATATATACGTTGTCACGGTTGTTGAAATTAAATCTGTCAGATATGGGTAAACGGAAGTTTAATCTCTCTTTAGTTGTTGTTTTTTTTTTTAAATAATATTGTTGTTGATAGAAAATTAAACGTGATTCCGTGGCTCTTTAGAATTAAATTGACCACAATATGGGTAAACCCCTACGTACCACTCGGCGTTACAGCCCTGGGTGAGCCTTGGCCTCCTCTACATCCAGTCTTCACCACAAATACGAGCTGCCATAAGAATGGATCTATGCATGATGACGCGAGGCTGGTTGTTAGGTTTCTGAAGAAATTTCTTTTTATTAGGATGAGGTTAGCCTCATCTCCAACCCCGAACCTGGGGAACCAGTGTATCTCACTTAGTCTGGACTCTACCGCTGGCATGGCTCTCCAGGTCACAGAGTCACCCAAGCTCCACCACCACAAGGTGGAGACACTTTTGGGGGGATGCTGAAGTACATCTGCTAGAAAAAAAAAATATTTAGCAGTTAAATATTACAAGATGATTTTATTTACCATGAAACTAAAGCTCATAACCATTTGGATCGCAATTACAAGAACGCAAAAATTGATGTAAGTAGTGCAACCAAAGATTTGGTATCGTTAATATATTCCTGAATCCCACTACTGGACACGTTAAAACGACTTCCATCCTCACAGTCTATTTCCACAGCATACATCTTCATGTTATCCTCCACTACGCTACAGTCTAAGGAGTCACTTTCCAACAGGTTTCTCAATCAATACTTCGTATGTTATTTATGAACCCCATATTCGATAGCACGCAGCCTGCGTAGACAACTTCCTCGCTGCAGTACTATTAAATTTCCACTTCATTCTTTTCTCATCCATACAGTTTCTGAAGACATCTTTTTCGAAAACTTGTCATTTATATTCTTCCATCAGAGTAAGATATAATTTTACACACTAATATAGAACAACTGGTAAATTATACACTACTTTAATTTTTTGAACAGTACCGATGAATAAGAAGATAACACTTTCTGAACTGCTATAATATCCTACATATCCAGTGCCACTGTTCAAGTAACTTCACTACGAGCCTCGATTCCTTTTAGTCTAGTTTTCTTTCTCAACGCATATGAGATCACCATGATGTTAGTGTGTGTGTGTGTGTGTGTGTGTTCCGCCAAGTCCCCAGTTCAACATAAACAAACACAAATTTTTACGAAATTTTGTATGAGCGTCATGAAATTAGAGGCCACCTTGCTGTTGTGGCTTTAAGCTTCATGTAATCGATTATAACCTCGAGATGCACGAAATTGTGTATTGGGAGCGACACTAGCGACACTTAATATAGTGTTCTGAAGTTACGTATGATAATAGCTCTAAGAAAAATACGGAATTCTGTTTAAACCTCTTTTTTAAATTGTAAAACAAAATGTCATTTACGTGAGATTTCTGTTTAGCTTTCGGTTTGGTGACGATAACTAATAATTCATGACATCCGTGACATTAGAATTTAGATGTGGAAATAAATCGTAAACTTAGGTGTAAATTACGTACAAATAGTTCATCAGTCAACAATATAGCAATGGGAAAATAAATCTGGGGTTACATCGCACAAATGCAACGTAGACAAAATCGGTGCTCAAGTAAATATTTTCCCCCAAACGACACTAATAATAATTCAGTTAAAATCATTCCTTTATTTATTTGGTGCTGAGCTCAACATCCAATGGCCAATTTCAAAGCCAGCATAAATACAAACAACAGCAATATACAACAAAGGACAAAACAAACAAGAAACAACAAAAACAAAGAAAACTGAATCAGTTTAGGCTTTTAACACTCATACAGGAACTCCAGAAATATTTGTAAACTTGCACGCTAAATATGCTGTTGAAACACACTCGGCTAATAATAATGACAATCTGTAACATATTTACAACTGCAAAGAAATGAAATTCGATTCGACTATATTTCGGTTGTTATGACTCTCTACGCTGTAGTGCAGCACGGTAATCCATGAGACAATTTTAATTTTATTGTGCAAATATAAATTTACATTATTTAAATGAGTCATTAAAGACATTAAAGCATATGACTTGTAGGTTCGTAGCACAAAATTAGGCGTTATGGTTTATACGAATATCCGGAACTCTTTTGTTAATATCGCTCTTTATAAAGTTTTAAAATATGAAGCTAATATTGTAGACTGAAGTAAAGTCTGCCAGAAGAGACGTCAATAACACTGGTGTAAGATGCCTCCTGTTAGACTCTTACAACGATAAGCTTTACTTTATGATCCAATAGATAAACAGGATCCTGGTCGCCCACGTCGGAAACGGAGTGATCAATTTAACCACGAAGCGACCCTTTGACTTAGACCTTGAGAGGAAGAAGCATCAGCAGCAAAATGGTCTTGAAATAACTTTCGTAGCCTTGCGATGTCAAATTCAGGCACAATTCTGAGAACGTTAAATTATATGTCCTAAACAGTAGGCTGCTTCAGGAATATTTGGAGGATGCATCGCTCCGTTTCTATAATAATGTGTACTTAGAAGTATTAACTTAAAAGCTTTAAGTCTAAATATAACCTTAAGTAGGAACTTTAGAGGCAGAAGTATCTGCCACTTAATTTAATACTTTTAAATACTTTCGGGTCCTGTAAGAATATTTAAATTGATGACGTATAAGCATAGATTTGATACAGAAGGCGAGGTGAGAGAGATATATTGTCAGAAAAGGCCTGAAAGAAACCACTAGGAATACAGAAACAGTCGTCCAGCCATTATGTTCAAACGAACTTGGGATTATTACCTTCCGCTAGCTACAAGCCCTTTGGGATCGTGTAGGTCAGATGGGCTACTCAGGCAGTAAGGGGAAAGTCCCGAGCATAGTCATCTCCGCCATCAATATGGCTTCTTTCCGTAACCTTAGAACAGTACCACGATATAAAATATATGGAGCTTAAGCTCTGATTTAATATACACCTTCATAACAGGGTGTTTAGGAACAGGAATATAGTTATCTCTAGCATCACATAGATACACGAGGCATTGTTATAACCCACTGATAATTCAACAAGAAGTTTCATTACATTTATAAAAACTTTGGTACTATTAACTGTCCTTGCTTCCACCCATATTCCTTTCTATTCCTACATACGAGTATTATGTATGTATGTAAGGGGTGGGCCATAAAAACCGGCCCTCGCACTGCGACCTTCAATGATCTAATGTGCTTCCCCTTGGATTAGCCCTTTATTAAACCTACACTTTTAATAAAGTGTAGAACCCTGCTTATGAGGGCGTCATAAAAGTCACTTGGTTCCATAAAAAACTGACCCAAGTGACGAAATCTTAAATAAGCTACGGCCTCACAACCACACAGGATGTGTGTGGCTGATTCATTTTCTTATAGGCACCTTTCACAGGTTGGGTTATCTGTCAGTCCCAACTTGAAAAGGTGTCCTTTTAGGTGGCAGTGACCAGTAACTAATCCTACCACTCATCTGAGTTGATCTTATACGAGTATTAATGAACGATATATCGAGGCCGACGTTTAACGCCATCACCCTCGAATAGCACGCATGAATAGTCAATTTTAAAAGTTTTCTTTGTATATTATTCTACACTTCACACATCCAAATTAAAATATTATAAATACGGAATAGTTACGATGCACTGAAGCAAAAAATGTTTTCGTGTTCTTGATCCATATAACTTACCTTCATGCGTTAACATTAAACAAGTTTTTGCTATGGTAACGCGAAATTGCGAAATTTCAGAGCCTTTATCGCACGATTGCAAAATGCTTTAACATATAGACAGATATTTGTTAACCGAATTGCAATAAGGGCCAATCTTATTAGTAGCTTAAAACTTGGATTGGCTAATTCGAATTACAGCTAGGGCTTACAGGCTTCATAGTTCACGTCTCAAAAATTACCTACCTGCAGTATGCTTTTGCAACTGAAGTGGCTTTACATCACCCAATAAATCGTGAATATTAAGATGTTTGGGATGTGTTCTCATGTAATTTGGTTGACAGGTACTACGTAGGTGACAATGTTTCAGATGAACCTGCTGCTTCCATCTTCAGAAATGCTGACATCTCTTTGCCGAACTACACGATGTCACATCCCGTTCATATTCACTGCTTTGAAAGTCTCCTCACAAAGCCTAACAATCCGTACTGACGGCTTCACGATATTCCCCCATCTTTTCCAGGCCAATGTAGGAACATTGCCATAAACCAGGCCATAGCTTCTTTAAAATCCTTACCTTTTCACTATTTCTAATTACCTTACCGTAACATTTTATGACACTTTTTCTTCAGATGCAAGTGCATCGTTAAATAAACCAAGAATAAATCAACTGAAGGTAAAGTAGGACACGATTTTTTAAACAATTAGAGGTTTTGGGCCTCTTAAAACAAGCTTTATTTTTGTGTCCACTCTAGCAAACTAAATCGTTCACTATCATGCTGTCTCCTCCACTGCCTCAACCTCCTAGTCCTCCTCCTCCTCCTCTTCTTCTCTGCATCTCTTCATGGCTTTGTCGTCTTCAGTTTCCAGATTAATCTATTCTTCCAGTCTCCATCTTTGAAACTTCGATCTTCCAACAAGGGCTAAAAATTTTCTATTTACATGTAGATCTCACTCTCCTCTCCCCCTCAGCCCCCCCCCAGTGGTCACCAGTGAAACGAAATTTT